CTCAAATGGGGGTACCCCTAGGGGTACACTGGAGTACTGCAGGGGGTACTAAAAAAAGATCATTTAAAAAATATCAGTCATACATAACTCCTAAAGTAGGTAAACTTCAAAGTTCAATAAAACATTTTAACATTTTATATTCAGTATTCTCTTAACTGCCACAAACTGTAGACTTCCTGGTGGCTCGCTGCCAGCGAGAATGACAAAGATCCTCAGTGAAGCACAACAAGCTCATGTTTTCTTATAAATTGGAAGCGCAGCTTATAAAGACGTAGTTTAGTGCAACAATACAAAGCCACCTTTGTGTTATTGCATGATGGCAAAAAAACAGATTTTTGATTTGTATAGTGAGTTCTAAACCAAGTGTTTTTCTAAATAAATCAGACGCTGATGGTGCAGGGCTGCATTAGATTGGTCAGGTACTTACACATTAATGAAACCGGTTTCTGGTCTAGATAAAGAAAAAAAAGCTCTGTTCCCTGCACAATAAAAAAGATGTTTAACCCGTTTCTCAAGTTGTGCCACAGTTTTCTAAACCAAACAAAGTTAGTTGGAAATGACACAAATTATGCAACCCTCGACTACATGTAAAGAATTTTACCATCACTTCTATTTGTCCATATTAACACTGTTTCACCAAATGAGGAATTTTGAAGTTTCTCACTGCTGCCAACATTTTTTTTAAATTTAAAAAAATATATGTACTGCAAAAAAATCATAAAATGTTTTTTGCATATTTTAAGACACATAGTGCCCAGAAAACTTAAAATCACCGAACCAAACTTAAAGATTTTCACCCATGTTTGTCCAAATTGATTTTCCTATGATAGGAACAGGTTAAAAAGCAAACAGAACCTTTTTTCATCAGATGGTTTGAAGAGTCTGTGAGGGTTTACAGTGGTTGGTGTTGTCAGAAGACCTTCTGGATTTATCAAAGGTTTTTATTGTTCAGAAACTCTGATGCTTAAGCTCTGTGACTAAAATGGTGATACCATGAGGCACAAACAGGGGCTACATCACAACCCTGAGAAAGTACTGACTGACTGAAAAAGGTTTGCGTTTCCCACATTTACGTATCCATTTAACTGTTAAGACATATTTTCTATAAATTCTCTTTACATGAGAGTTTCTGAATCTTGTTTCAAAGACCTATTAAGTTATTGTCTTAGTCTTAGTTATTTGTATTTTTGTATTTTTTTGTTTAAGGTAATATTTAGGCTGTTTTTAGGATGAAATCATTTAGGTGACTGTAATAGAAATTTAAATAAAGGTTAGATAATAAAATAAATATAACTTAAAGGGTCCAGTGTGTAACATTTAGGAGGATCTATTGTGCAGAAATGGAATATAATATTCATAAGTATGTTTTCATTAGTGTATAATCACCTGAATATAAGAATCGTTGTGTTTTTTTATTACCTCAGAATGACCCGTTTTATCTACAGGGGGGGTCCTCTGAAAAACCGAACATTGGCTCTAGATGGGACCTTTTCGCGTTTTTTCCTAATTTCGCAGCCACCTTAATTTCTCCTACANNAAATCCAACACACTGGTCCATTTAAAACAGTCAAATCTAATAATTGTGAGTCAAAAAATACCAGAAAGAGCCTAAAACACCACCAGGTGTAAGTTGTGTGTGACTGTAAAATTCAAACGTCTTCTCAAGTCGTTTAAACTTCCACATCACTGCTATTTTCTTTAACATCAACTATTCAGAAAAATATAAATTATTATTTTAAATGAATAGTGTTTGGGGCACAAGCGTCCTGTCTGCAGCAGCCCGGGCTCGACTCCAACCTGTGGTCCTTTGCTACATACCTGTGTGCTCCATTCAGCAGCACAGACAGCGAGCGGCTGTTCGACTCCGTGTCTGATATATTGGTTGAGGAGAGAAATAGACAGAGCTGCAACATGGCAGAGATGCTTATGTTTGAAGATTTCTTTGTTTCCTGGCACAAGAGGGCGAATAGATAACAAAAATACATTGGTTTTGGCTAAATTGTTATTTTAAACATCGGTATCAGGCCAGAATTTTCCAATGAGTACATCCCTAATGTCTGTGGCTCTGGCTCAGTCTCTCTAATTATGATTAGGCCACTTTGGGGTAATTTAGGTGAAGAAAGTTCTGATTTATTTCCAGTGTTTACAACATCTCAGCTGACAACAGCGTGGGAGTTATAAATAAATAGCTGTTCATAGCGTTGAAGTCAAGCTGAATAGTGTGATTGGATTTTCCATTAATGGGATTTAGTGGGAGTGTGTGTTGGTTTCCTGTGGATTTAAGTCAAGCAACAATTTAAAATCAAACTGTCTCACCACATCACAGCTTCTACAACATATAAAGGTGTAAAACTGTGACGTCTTCTCATTCAGGTTACGGCCATGCAGCGCCCAGCACCGACTCAGGGAAAGTGTTCTGCATGTTCTACGCCCTCCTGGGGATCCCGCTCACTTTGGTCATGTTCCAGAGCCTAGGTGAGCGGATCAACACGTTCGTCAGGTACCTGCTGCACCAAGCCAAGAAGTGCCTGGGAATGCGTCAGACCGAGGTCTCCATGGCGAACATGGTGACGGTGGGCTTCTTCTCTTGCATGAGCACCCTGTGTGTGGGGGCTGTGGCGTTCTCTCACTGCGAGGGATGGAGCTTCCTCCACGCCTTTTACTACTGCTTTATCACACTCACCACTATCGGGTTTGGAGACTATGTGGCTCTGCAGAGGGACGACGCGCTGCAGAATGACCCTCGGTACGTGGCTTTCTGCTTCGTCTACATCCTGATGGGCCTGACGGTGATCGGGGCGTTCCTAAACCTGGTGGTGCTTCGCTTCCTTACCATGAACACTGAGGACGAGCGGAGAGACGCCAAGCAGAGAGCCTTGATGTCCGTCAGTAAGCCCAGAGGAGAAGTGGCTCGTCTAATACCAGTCTCAGCCTCAACCTCTTCCACACCTGTAGCAGACGACACTACAAAAGCTAAAGATTTAAAAGGTGTCTACACTGAGGTGCTTCATTTCCAGACTATATGCTCCTGCTTATGGTACAGGAGCAAGGAGAAGCTGCAGAGCTCCACTATGATCCCTCAGGAGCTGACGTTCTCTGATGCCTACTTGCAGCAGAATAGTAACTGTCCTCACTACATGGAACCTTTATCAACAGGCTGCGTTTGCAGTCCACGTCAGTGCTCGAGCATAAGCTCCATAACAACGGGCCTACACATTCTCTCTCCGTTCAGGGTGTTTAAGAGACGCAGCTCCGTCTAGCCTTTCAATACAGCAGATTTCAGTACAGCACAATGCGTCTGTACTGCCAAGCGGACAACAGATACTTGGCAGTCCTCACAGCAAAGACATGACTGCAAGTAGACGTTTGTGGTGCTATAATCCCAGTAAACCAACAGTAGGACACGCAAAAGGGAAAAGCACATACAGCACTGTAAACAGCAAAGTCTTACCCAAATATGTATTTTGAGAAAGCACAACAAAATTCTTATTCAGGGCATCCTGTGTGCTTTGACAAACCATGTAGGTACTCGTCTGGGTCACCACACATGAACACATGAACGCACTGCAGTACACTGTGGTGCACAGTGTACACAGCTTGTAGGTGGCAGCGCAGCGGCAGAACAGGTTGAGTCAGTTGAGCAACGGCACGATAAAATTATAAAATAACTGAAACTTGTCAGACCAAAGCTCTGCAGTAAATTCCAGTTGTGTGCGTTTGTTAATAATCTCAAAGATGCTGATTCAACTCTGGTTATTTCTAAAAGCTGTACTTTGTGGCATTGTTGGTCCGTTGTTTTTCCCTGTTAGGCATATGTCTTGGTGTTTTTTTTTTTTAAGACATCTCCCGTCATAGTATTTGTGACTGATGAAGCATCAGTTCACTTTCTGGCCTTATATAAGTTGCCTTGTGTTGTCCTAGAAAACGCTTTCAAACAAATCGTAATTGTCAGAACTTTATTAAAGCTGACACACACTGGTAACTCAGTATGACTCATTCCCTGTGTAGCAGCCTCTGTTATTGTGAGTTTCAGTGCTCTCTGCCCAAATTTCTGGTGCATCAGTCACAAACACTGCAAAATTATGTAACGTCACAAGTGGAGAAGTTCAAAAAATCACGATGACATATCCCAAACACAGAGAAACTGCATTAGGGAAAGAAGTACAGTAATCACAAGTAGACACTCACCAGCACTAACTGAAACACACTTAACTGGACTTGTTTAACAACACTGCTTTAAAAGGACTGCTTTAAAAATGATCATCGGGCTAAATCAACAACTCCCCAACAACTTGGTATTCTCTGCAGAGTTACTGTAGTGTTTCTGTTACTTTGTCCACCCCTGGCTGATGGTTGGTGAAGTCGCAGATTTGGCACTGCTGGGTCCAGAAGTCAGTCCGGGGCAGGTACTGGTCTGCTTCGTGGCGTTTCCACTGTGATGCTGTTATCAGTCCTTCAGGAATCAGAGCAGATACACACCCAAACATCCAGGTACTAGTGAGGTTGCACTATTAAAGGATAACTCAACATTTTGGAAAATATGCTCAGATGAGAATATATCTCTGTCATGGCAGTGCAAAGACCTTTTTCACAGCAGCCATTTTGATGTGAAATAGTTTGTTAAACACAGGTGTTACCAATGATACCAGTTAAGGTTCTGTTTCATTCAGGTCAAACAGGGTGCTGCTATTGTGCAAGTTGGCTCACTGGAAAGGCTCTGTTTCACTGACTGTAGATAGGGTGAGCCTCGGGTTTGGCATTATGGTCGTAGAGAGAAGACTTGAAACTACAGATTGAGAAACTCGTTAGGAAACTGTTTACTGAGCTAATGAATCAAGTGAGAAGTCGGATAATTTCTCCATAAGACTGCATGGTACCAGTGTGCTATTGTATATTAAACGAGCGTTTGCACGAGCTGTTTAAACATTTGTACAGTCAATATGCTAAACTAGCTAATAGTCTGCTGCCTCAAGGTTCATATTTAGCATACAGACATGAGAATATCTATCTTCTTATCTAACTCTGCCAAAAAAGCAATAAGCATAATTTCCCAAAATGTTGAACTTTTCCTTTAATCCATAGCCTATTGAGTAAAAGTTAAATATTATTTATTCATATATAAGTTATAAGTATAAAAACGTCAAATTTGTGTTTTTTTCAAGCCGTTTTTGGATGTAACAGCTGGAATCTTGTCGCCATGGCGAGGTCGCCTAGCAGCCGGTGGAGACGTTGCATAGCAGAGCTGGGTGGATGGATAAACCGTTGTTTGTCGAGAGATAGGAGTTCTAGCACGAAACGCCCAAAACCACATTTTTAGACTTCTGTTTGTGTGCTGATTTAAGATAAGACGTGTTCATTCGTGAGCTTTAGAGGAGCTGGGAGGCAGATTTTATTTTAAAAAGCTAGCTGTTTCCCCCTGCTTCCAGCCTTTATGCTAAGCTACCTGCAGTAGCTTGCTATCTCCATACTTAACACACAGACATGAGAGTGGTATTAATTTTCTCATCTAACTTTTGGCAAGAAAACAAATAAGTATTTCACAAATTGCTTTTTAAAGCTAACAGGCAAGCCCTCTGACTGTTAGCCTATCAGATTAGAAAAAAATGAATACAGATTAGACCCTTAAATGTGGATTATGTGGATTATGGGTTTGGATCTACTATATTTCTCTCCACTCTGCTCTTTTGACCTGAAGGACAATGACAGACTATCAAATAAAACACATCAGCTGTTCAGATATGAAGCGTACGGAGCAGTCCAAATCACGTATTGGATCAAACTGTACATGCAAACTATTTTGAGGAGCAGTTCAGAGTGGCACATGGGAGTGGGTTTTCTGCGTTTGGACAATGGATAATAAGCTGGTTGTCAATCACAGATAATTATGCCTCAAAGACATAGTCTCTGATTGACAGAAAAGGGAAAAAAAAATCCACCCTCAGATACTATTTATTATTTCTGGGCCTGTTTTAGAGTTTAGTATTTTTATTTAGTAGGCTAAGCGACATGGATGAGGCATCACGTTAAGTTTATTTCTGGCAGCTGCACATGAGTTTTAGGAGATCAAGTAAAGTATCTCAGAGAGTTACTTAATCATACAATATGTAGTTTCTGCCCGCTCACATCAAAACAATAACAAAAGAGTGAGTTTGTTGTCTTTATCACCATTGCCGTCATTGCAGTGGGCTTCTCCCGGTTAGGATTCCTTCTGGGTTCATCATTCTCAAGGTTTTTACCAGGCACTGAATTAGCCGCAGAGGTCTCGTCCTCTTCAAAACAAACAGACCTGGTGATTCAAACCAGTAAAAACACTGAATAAAGCAGTTTCACCTTAAAAATCTGTATTTCTCCAATGTTGTTTATAATACAAAGAACGTCCCGGAGGGGCTCGACTGAGCCTGCGGCTAAACTTAACTCAGCTTGTCTCCGATAACAAAACCAGCGTCTGATGACTAAAATCCTTCATCTGGTTCAAATATAGAGTTCAAAATGACTGCCATCATAAAAATGTGGCTCAAAACTGGATAAAAAGTAAATTTATGACTAGCATTACCTGAATAAAATGACAGATTTCTCTTTTTTTAAACATTTTGGATAATGTAAATACACAACTCAACAAAATAACATAGGTCTAGTGTTTATAGACATTTTAATGCGGAAATGTTACATATTATATCTTCAAATGCAGTAGATGTGTTTAGTTACATTGCACCACTGTCACCACTTTTGACTTCCTGCTATTTACTGTTTTTGCCTTGTAGGTTGAAATACCACCCATGTAACACACAACGGACATAAAACAAGTGCCAACAATGACTTGCTAATACTATTTGACCTCTGTCTGGTGTCTATTGAGACACCGATCTCATCTAAATGCAGCTGTTGTGATGGATTGTACTGTACCTTACTGAAATGCATTTGCACATGATAATGAGAGAAAAATGATTATGATGCTTTCTGCTTTTGACTTGCTTTTAACAATAAGTGACAGCCTACTGTATATTTCATGCAAAGTACTGTATTAGTTTTAAAGTAGGATTACATGCACTAGCATAAACAGGTTTCTCTGGTTTGCTTGGATAGAAAAAGGGTTTTTAAAGAGCAAAGTAGTACTTAAACACACAAAGAGTACTCGAAATAATTGTAAGAACTTTTTTTTTTAAATCTTTACTTGCCAAGGGATGTGTGCATACTTAAGACAAATCAATGCAAATGTAGTTAAAAACAATATTGTACTATTTTGCCCAAAAGTATAGAAAAAAACATAAAGAGAAAACATTAAAACATGGATATTTAATCCAGAAACTGTTGAGTTTCACTGTTTCTTTTTTTCCCCCACGGATACCCACCTTTAAATGAATTATAGTTTACAGAGAAGATTTAAGAAATGAATGTCTGTACAGTATAAGAAGTAATCATGTGACATTACAATCTCCATGCTGTTAAGGAACATGTGCTGTGTGAGAAAAGCCTGCTGAATGTATAGAAATGACCGTTTGGTCCAGATGGTTTCCCCCTGGGAATTCTGACTGAAGTCCAGTTCCGGACAACCTACAGCAGGTTAGTCACGAGCAAGAAAGTATGGCAGTGCTATCATTATGTCATCGTTTGTGGCGGTATATATATTCAACTCACCACCAGGTGGTACGGAAAGTGAGAGGTGGACAAAATAACAGAAACACTTCACATTTCAGCAGCAAATGCAGTTTTTAAGTGTTAATGTTGTGTTTCTAATTAGGCAACCAAAACTAATATTAGGTTTTTTGATGAGACTGCCAGAGGTGTTGATTACTCAATGAGTTTCCTGGAAAGAACTATGTAATTTGGTTCTAATTATAGAGAAAATGGAAATTCATACACTGAATTAATTCCATTTAATTTCTAGTGTAACCTAGAGCCTTTTAACTCATGCAAACATGCATAAATGTCACATTCGTCTAAAGGCAAACATGTAATTCAGCATAAAGAATCCTAAATGGACTACTTGCACCTTTTGTAGTCCTCCAACCACGCAAAGCGCTTTTACACTACATGCCACATTCACACAGTGATGGCCTTTGCAGAAACTCACTCATCCACATTCATACACCGATGCACAGAATCGGGGTTTAGTATCTTGCTCGAGGACACTTCGTCATGCAGTGGGAGGAGCCAGGGATCGAACCCCTAACCTTCTGATTAGTGAATGATTTGCTCCACCTCCTGAGTCACAGTAAATAAAAGTTTACAATATTTAAAGTCCCTCTTCACTCAAAAATCAGTTTTTCTTCTTGTTCCTTCAGTTGGATGTTTGAGCTTCACTG